CTCTGTGTTAGTCATTCTAGCATAATGTGTCTTGGTTTGGGTCTGCTGTAATTTTGTACATTTGGGGGTCCTACAAGCCTCTTGTATTTGATTTTTCTGTTCCATTCTTTAGATTGGGCAATTGTTTACTATTATATCATTTAAAAATTATGCATTCCTTTGGTTTGTATCTCTGCTCCTTCATCTATTCCAATAACTCTTAAATCTGTTTTTTTCATGTTATCCCATAATTCTTGGATGTTCTGTTCATGGTTTCTTACCATCTTCTCTTCATGGGTAACTCTACTTTTAAGATTATATATTTTTTCTTCATTGTCTGAGGTTCTGTCTTCCAAGTGATCTACTCTGTTGGTGATGCTTTTTATTGAATTTATAATTTGGTTTACTGATTCCTTCATTTTAAGGATTTCTGCTTGGTTTTTTTTTTTTTTTAATGATCTCTAACTCTTTATTGAAATAGTCCTTCACTTCCTGTATGTTCTTTGATTTCACTCCTCATACTGCCCTTTATTTCACATATCAATTTAACTATATGCAATCTGAACTCCTTCTTGGACATTTTTTCTACTGTGTTATCAGCGGCTTCTGTTGTTGAAGCATCTTGGTTTGTTTGGGGCTCTTTATTTCCTTGTTTTTTTCATGTTGTTAGTGTGTTTTCCCATCTAGAAGTATGGATCTAAGGCAGCATAAAATCTACCCTGTAGACTTATAGTGTCTAGGTGTCTGAAGGTTTCCAAAGCCTCACCTTTAATAGTGAGACCAATATCAATATTACTCAGCATATAATATGTAGCCTTAAACCTAATAGTTCCCACTAAGGCAACTACTGCTTTCTGGCATTAAACCAAAATGATGAATTTAATAACTATCTATAGTATAAACAGAAATTTTGTTAAAATGGTTTACAATTTCAAAGGGTGGATGAGAGAACAGAGTAGTGTAGTATGTAATATTTGTGAGGGAGGAAGAGAGAAACTAGAAGTAAAAATTCACAAGAAGAGTGGAAGAGGAGCCAACAGAGATTGGCTGTTGATTGGAGAGAAGTTGGAAAAAAAATAGCATAGAAAGCATCCTGTTCCAAATATGGTAGAGAGATTAGTGAATCAAAAAATAAAATAAATCTTGCTGGAAAGTCAAACTGTCTCTGTCAGTGTTCAACAGTTTCTCAGCTCTGACTGTGACGTCTCTCGGGATCACCAAACCCAGATCAGCCCTTGCAAACCTATTCTCTAGCCTACAAACCTGGGTTTCAAATACCTCAGGCTCTGCCATTTGTAGTCCCAAGATCTCAGTGCTGCTCCTACTTGCAGTGAGACCACCAGGAATACACTCATGCAAACAAGCAACAGCAAGAGATGCCGCAGCAATACCCAGGCCACTAGCACTCTCAGCAGGAAGACCCCAGGGACCTCCACACCCACAGGTACCCCAACACTGGACCTACAGGTCCTGATTGGAGTCCCCAGAGGGCCTTGTGGTGGTAAACCTGCTGGCACCCAGGTCCCAGGCCCTGGCTGGTATCCTAAAATGGGTGCCGCCACATGCAACCAAACCTGGAATCTCCCCTGCAGCAGTCCTCTAGGCTGTGGTAGCAGCAGTAGTGGCGGCTGCATTGGCAGTTACAACTGCAGCTGTGGGGGCAACGTCACCAGGTGATCTCCAGGGGTCAGCAGCAGTGTGGGCTTCAGTTGCATCCATAGTTTTTTCTGTGGCAGCAGCACCCAGAAAGAACACCTCCAGGTGATCTCAGTCTAGCAGTAGGGAAATCAGAGGCAACAGCAGTGGTGGTGGTGGTGCAGGTGGAGGTTGAGTAACAGACTTCTGGTTCAGCGGCAGCAACCATGGAGTTAGCATCAGAATCAAGTCAGGGATAACCAAGCAGTTTCCAGAAAAGAGACCTCTGGGCACAACATTGGCTTCTGTAGCAGCCCAGAAAGAAGACCTCCAGGTGACCTCAGGCTGGCAGCAGTAGAATCAGAGGCAGCAGCATTTGACACATGGGTTTTTATTCTGTCATAAAGAAGAATGAAATTATGGCATTTGCTGGTAAATGGATGGAAATGGAAAATATCATGTTAAGTGAAATAACCCATATTCAGAAAGCCAAGCGTCCAATGTTTTCTCTTGTGTATGGAAGCTTGAGCAAAATAAGAGGGAAACAGGCAGAGGGAGCCCATGAAAATCAAAAGGGTAGGATAGGTAGGGGGCAGATGGGAAGGAAGCAGGAAGAGGTAAAGAGGGGACTGCAAAGTGCACCTGGCCAAATCGTGCTGTGCACATATAGGAATATACCACAGTGACTTTAACTATTGTGTGTATCTATAAAGCAGGGATTAAAACAATAGGTAAATAGAAGGAAGACCAGTAGAGGAGAGGAAGGGGACAGGGGAAGGGAGGAGGGAAAGGAAAGGAGAAGTGCTGGGAATTGAAATGGAGCACGTTAATTCCATGCATGTATGGTTGTGTCAAAATCAATTGCAATATTATGTATGTGATAGTACACTAATAAAAATATGTAAAAAAAAAAAAAAAAAAAAAGCATTCTGGGCTGGGGTTGTTGCTCAGTGGTAGAACGCTCGCTTCACACGTGCGAGGTCCTGATTCGATCCCCAGAACCACATTAAAAATAAATAAACAAAAAAGGTATTGTGTGCAACTAAGAAATAAATGTTTTTCTTTAAAAGCATTCTTTGTGTAAAGAACAGGAAAATAGTTTCTTACCAGATAAATCTCTGTGAACCATCCTTTACTAGAGAAATTTCTTGCAAATGTCTTCTTTTAGGCATAGTTTATCTTTTCTTTCTCTAGATATTATGTTTCACAGAGCATGAATTTTAATTTTAATGGGGTGTATTGTATCAATCTCTTTCTCATCAATCATACCTTTGATATAGTATCAAAAAAGTCATAGCCAAATCCAAAGTCATCTAGATTTTCTCCTTCTATCTTGTACAATTTTTCTAGTTTTACGTTTTACATTTAGATCTATGATCTATTTTAAATTAATGTTTGTGAAGGGCATAGATTCATTATTTTATGTGGGTATGTCCAGTGTTCTAACAGCATTTGTGGAAAAGGCTATCTTTTCTCTATTGTGTTGCTGTCAATTCTTTGTCAAAGGTCAGTTGACTACATAGTTCTTGCTTGGTCTGTAGGAATTTGATACTAGTATCTTCCTAGAGACCTACATCTGTGGATGGTCAAAATCTCTTAATTAAATTCCCTGGTATACAGCCTAAGCTCTCATATGCTTTACATCTTCTCTTGATTATGTTTAGTGCCTGACAAAATGTAAGTGCTATGTAATTGAAACTGGAGTTTGAAATGAAACCAGATTCTCCACTCTGCTGGTCTATAGGTCCGCATAAGTTACATGCCTCTGCGGCTAAGAGAGCCCATTTTAGTATTGCAACTAATCATAGTAGGGAAAAGCCTATCTGGTCAGCTCCATGGGTCAGAGCTGGCAGAACCTGACTCTTCTTCAGTATTACTGGGCAGTGTGTTGTAGCTCTCAATGGCAGACCTCAGCAGCTGGCTGTCATTTTTTTTTTTTTTTTTCAGGTTCGTATTCACAGATTTGAAGACAAATCCATAGACAACAGAAGGCAAGAGTGAAGGTGTAGTATTTCTATAACTGAAAAGAAAATAACTGAAAAGAAAAGAAGCAGAACTCTCTGGGGCTGAGAGGGGAACCTGAGAGTAGGTTTCCACTTAAGTGTACTAGTCTAGGGACTTAAATAGCTACTGGATGAGGCATTCATCAATATCTGTGCTAATCAGGTCTTGGAAAGATACTAAGGGTGTTGGTCAGTATCTATGCTAATCATGTCTCAAAAAAGTGCCAATACTGTTGGTCAACTCCTATGCTAAACCAGTATTGGAAAAGTGCCAAGGCTCTTGGTTTGGTCTGTGACATTCTGATTAGTTAGGCCTTGAGTCTGTAGTCTTCACTCAGGTCGGCTCTACCTCCTTTTTCCTGCCACCTGGGACAAAGAAGTTGGCTGTAATGTTTGGAATGTTTTCTATAGGTTAGTTTTGTGAAATAGCCTCTTCATTTAAAGTCTCTCTCTCTCTCTGTTTTTTTTTTTTTTTTGGTATGGGGGAGTGTATTTTCTTAACTGTCTTTCTGTTTTACTATCTATCCTATCTTATTCATAATTACTTTTGTACTGTATTGATTTGGACATAAGCACACAAAAAAGCATGTTTAATACAGATGTAATTTTTTCCTATTGTATTTTCTATCCATGGTTGTTGAATTCACAGGTATAGAGGGCCAACTTATGTAGATCTGTATCTGTGCTCTCTACTCTGTTTCATTGATATATTTGGACCTGTCTGTGTCAGATCAGCTTATAAGAATATTGAGGTTCCACTGTGAATTTAGGTCAATCTTTCATTTTTTTTTTTTTTTTATAATTTTTTAGACCTTTATTTATTTTTATGTGGTGCTGAGGATCAATCTCAGCACCTTGCACATGCTAGGCAAGTGCTCTACCACTGAACTACAATCCCAGCCCAGATCAATGTTTTTTTCTTTGTCTTTCTGTGCTGGGAATTGAACACGTAGGGGCACTTTACCAAGAGCTACATCCCCAATCCTTTAAAATTTTGTTTTTCTTTGCTTTGAAACAGGATCTTGCTAAGTTGCTGAGGTTGGCCTTGACTTCATGATTCTCCAGCTTCCCAATCCCACCCTGGGATTATAGGCTTGTGTCACTATGTCTGATTCAGATCAGTTCTTCACATTAGAGGCTGCCTTTCCCCCCACATCTCCGCTTTTTTCTTTTATCTTCTCTATTTTTCTTTTCTTTCTTCTCTCCTCTCCCTCCTTCCTTTGCCTTTTTTTTTTCTTCAATGGATTTGACATTTTGTTTCAGTTAAACTCATCCTTCTCTGTTTTTAGATTATCAGAAGACCAAAGGTTGACCCAATCTTATGGAAAGATATTTGTGATTCTTCATTGCTTTCCCTCATGATATTCCTTTCCTCGTGTGCAGGGTACCCACTATTCACACCCAGTCTGATCTCCCAGTGGGAACAAGCGGAGGAACTGCAGACAGTGAAGACAGAACTTATCCAGGGCATCTGTACGGAGCAGCACCAGGAAGGCAAGAATCCCTGGGAGAAACTGGCCTGGGAGGAGAAAAAAATAAAATAGAAATAAAGCAAAAGTTTGTTTTGTCTGAGGAGGCTCATTATCCACAGATGCCTGAGAGGACTATTTTGACTGTTTATCTGTCCTCTCATACTTTCCTTGTTCTTGGCAAAGATCTCCATATTTGCTTTTTCAAAGTTTGTTTTTGGTATGTGTGTTTGATCCTTTCTGTTTTCCTCTCCTACTAATTGTTAAAAAATTATTAATCAACATTTTTAATATATTTACTATACTAATATGAAATATCAAGTTAACAGAAAAATTTTAACATAAACTTTCTTTTTATTAAAAAAAATATTTATTTATTTGTTCTACTTTGTTATACATGATAGCAGAATGCATTTTGATTCATATGAAGCCCAATTTTTCATGTCTCTGGTCCCAATAATTTCTACTGATCATGTTACCATCACTTTCATTCTTCATAGAACTATTTTTTATTTTTCAGCACTGGGGAACCCAGGAGTGCTTTACCACTGAGCTATATCCCATACCCTTTTTACTTTTGAGACTGGGTCTAAGTTGTTGAGGCTGTGCTTGTACTTGTGAACCTCCTACCTCAGCCTCCCAAGTAGCTGGGATTACAAGCATGTGTTACCATACTATGGTAATGTTACCATACTATGGTTTCATGGAAATATTTTTTAGTGAACTGTTTTACTTTTGACCCTTGTGCCTATTAATAATGAAGTCCTGAAACAGCTGCACTGCTCAAAAGTTTTTTTCTCATAGGTAACTTTATTTTTTTGTTTCAGGTGTTGAGTCTCTACTTAATACTAAGGAATTAGTTGCTCTTCAAGATAACAATGGAGAAAAAATATCCAATGAACAGAGAATAGTGCGATTCAAAAGAAATGGTTCCTGCTCCTCTATTTCACATGAAAACCAGGACTTCCATGGTGTGGATGATTGGAACAAAAGCCATGAGAAAGGTTTAAGGTGAGTGCCCTTCATATAACAGAAGGTAGTGCATCAGGAAACAATTTTGAGATTTAAGAAACATATTTTGGGGCTGGGTTGTGGCTCAGTGGCATGCAGAGTGCTTGCCTCCCACATGTGAGGACTGGGTTCAATCCTTAGAATCACATAAAAATGAATAAATGAAATAAAGATATTGCATGCATCTACAACTAAAAAATATTTTTTGAAAAGAAACATATTTTCAACATAAACCTAGGTCAAAAATTATGCTTTCATAAGAATGAAATCATGTCGTTTGCCAGTAAATGGATGAAGCTGGTGCAAAGAACAAAAGGCGAAGTGTTTTCTCTGATAGGTGGATGCTAATTTACAATGGGGGGGGTTGAGAAGAATAGAGGTACTTTGGATTAGACAGAGGGGAGTGAGAGGAAGGGAGGGGGTGTGGGAATAATAGTAGTATTAATTGGACATTATTATCCCACGTGCATATATGATTACATGACCAGTGTAACTCAACATCCTATATAACCAGGAGAATGAGAAATTATACTCCATTAATGTATGGTGTATGAAAATGCATTCTGGTATCATGTATAACTAATGGAATACATGCAAATAAAAAATAAATTTAAAAAGAGAAATAAAGATTCAAATTCAAAATAAAAAAAAATTGTACTTTCACAAGAATTTTGTCTAGGTAGTTTTTCCTACAAATGATACTGAGATATTGAAGGTTTGACACACAGATTGGTTTGACAGATTTATCAGAAAAATCATACAAGTCAAAAGCTCAGTGACAATGTTGGCTGTGGAAGAGCGTTCTTGAGAACTTTTAGCTTATAAATTGATGGGGCAGAACTCATACATATTTACTGAAAATGGTAAATTTTTTTTTTACTAATAATCTGTCTTTTATTTTTAAAAGTCATGTGGTAGAGAACATCTGTGAATACAATGAAGAAAATCAATGTGGACAAATTTCAAATCTTATGCTCCAGAGAACTACTGAAGTCAAATCCTTTGAATGCTATGAGTGTGGAAAGTCCTTCCTGTTTCATTCATCACTTAAGAATCACAGCAGATCTCATGCTGGAAACAAACCCTATCAGTGTAAGGAATGTGGGAAAGCCTTCCATTTTCTTTCTTGTTTTAAGAAGCATATGAAAACTCCTACTGAAGAAAAACCATATGAATGTAAGGAATGTATAAAGGCCTTCAGTTGTTCCTCCCTGTTCAGAGCACATATGAAAATTCATAGTGAAAAGGCAAACTATGAATGTAAGGAATGTGGGAAAACCTTCAGTAGTTCTTCCCACCTCACAGAACACAAAAGAATTCACAGTGGAGATAAGCCCTATGAATGTAAGGAATATGGGGAGGCCTTTAGTTGTTCCTCATCACTCTCCAAACACAAAAGAATTCATAGTGGAGATAAGCCATATGAATGTAAGGAATGTGGGAAGGCCTTTAGCTCTTCCTCTCATCTTAAAAGACATATAAGAATTCACACAGGAGAGAAGAAGCCCTATGAATGTAAAGAGTGTGGGAAGGCCTTTAGTGACTCCTCAAAACTCACTGTACATGTGAGGACACACACCGGAGAGAAACCCTATAAATGTAAGGAATGTGGGAAAGCCTACTATTGCCCCTCCTCCTTAAGTATCCACTTGAGAAAACACACTGGACAGAAACCTTATGAATGTCTGGAATGTGGAAAAGCCTTCTGTCTTCCCACTTTCCTGAACACATATGTGAACAATCAAAGTAGAGAGAAACCCTATGAATGTAAGGAATGTGGGAAGGCCTTCAGTTGTCCCTCATCCTTTAAAGCACATGTGAGAGATCACAATAGTAAGGTGCAATATGAATGTAAGGAGTGTGGGAAGGCCTATCGTCATTCCTCATCCCTCACTGAACACCTAAGAATTCACAGTGGAGAAAAGCCTTATGAGTGTAAGGAATGTGGGAAGGCCTTCATTAGTTCTTCCTATCTTACAGTACATAGAAGAACTCACACTGGAGAGAAACCTTATGAATGTAAAAAATGTGGGAAAGCCTTTATTCGTTTGTCAGGTCTTAGTAGCCACATGAGAACCCACACTGAGGAAAAACCCTATGAATGTAAGGAATGTGGGAAGGCATTTCGACATTCTTCATCCCTTACTATACATGCAAGAATGCACACTGGAGAAAAACCCTTTGAATGTCTGGAGTGTGGAAGAGCTTTCAGTTCTCCCTCATCCTTTGGGAGACATGTGAAAAACCATACTGGACAGAAACCATATGAATGTAAGGAATGTGGGAAAGCCTTCATTAGTTCTTCCTATCTTACAGTACATAGAAGAACTCACACTGGAGAGAAACCTTATGAATGTAAAAAATGTGGGAAAGCATTTATTTGTTTCTCAGCTCTTAGTATCCACATGAGAATCCACACTGAGGAAAAACCCTATGAATGTAAGGAATGTGGGAAGGCATTTCGACATTCTTCATCCCTTACTATACATGGAAGAATGCACACTGGAGAAAAACCCTTTGAATGTCTGGAGTGTGAAAGATCTTTCAGTTCTGCCTCATCCTTTGGGATACATGTGAGAAGCCATACTGGAGAGAAACCATATGAATGTAAGGAATGTGGGAAAGCCTTCATTTGTTCTTCCTATCTTAAAGTACATAGAAGAACTCACACTGGAGAAAAACCTTATGAATGTAAAAAATGTGGGAAAGCCTTTATATGTTTTTCAGGTCTTAGTAGCCACGTAAGAACCCACACTGAGGAAAAACCTTATGAATGTAAGGAATGTGGGAAGGCATTTCGACATTATTCATCGCTTACTATACATGGAAGAATGCACACCAGAGAAAAACCCTTTCAATGTCTTGAGTGTGGAAGAGCTTTCAGTTCTCCCTCATCCTATGGGATGCATGTGAGAAGCCATACTGGAGAGAAACCATATTAATGTACGGAATGTGGGAAAGCCTTTATTTTCCAGCCTACTTTCGAAGCCATTTGAAAGTTCACACAAGGGACAACATATAAATGTAAGGAGTAACGGTATCTCTGCAAGACTTTTTCTGAACTAATGCAATTTGTGAAGTCTCCTTTTGTGAAGTCTTATACTGTGGAGACAGTATAAATGTGAGAAAGTAGGAGATTATCACTTATTCTTTTGAATAGTTGAGGACAACTGAGAGAAACCTTGTGTTTGTAAGCTATATGGTAAAGCCTTTTGATTTTGAACATAACTTGTGCCGCAGTCTGGCTGGGCTGTGCAAAGTAGCCGGGGGGCCACAAGCAACTTGTGAAAGTTGAAACAGCGGGAGCCACTGTATTCAGACCAGCAGAGTTATATATACCCAAGTAAATACAGACAGCTTATCTCAATTAACATTATCCAGTTACAGCAATCAGTCATTAAGGAATCCTCATCATCTTAATAATTAGGCACAGCTTAACTCAGTTAACATCATCTAGATACATCAGTCAGTCATTAAGGAATCCTCATCCTCTTAATAGCTCACTGGCATTACTTCTCAAACCACTCCTCCTGGCAAATTGTCAGGCACCATCTTGACTTGGCGGTGGCTCTCAACACTTGTAGAAGAAAATTCAAAATTTGAGCTAGAAAAGGACATCAGTGCCTCATTAAAGTGGACTTCTAGAGGGTCATTGATTTCCAATGTTTTCTAATAGGAAGATTTAAGGTTATATGTTTCCCTTTTCAGCTTTTATGACATACTTTTGAGTATGAGGTGAGTTTCTTTAGATGAGATGTAAATGTTATTTCCATTACAAAGTCTTTTGGACTCTTGGGAGATTGTGTGTGTACACGTGTGTATGCTTCTCCATGAGACAGCACCTGGCTATGTTGTCCAGGCTTGTAACTCCTGGACTTCTGCTTTAGCCTCCTAAGTTTGGGATTTCAGGCATATATCATTGAGTCTGGCTCAAGTGCATTTTTTTTTTTTTTTTTTTTTGGGCAGGCAGGAAAGTGGTGTTTTTTTTTTTTTTTTTAAATTGTTGTTTAAGTTTGAACTCACAGCATGGGCACCTTTTTCTTCTTCGTCTTTGTCTTTGCCTTTGCCTTCGCCTTCTTCTTCGTCTTCGTCTTTGCCTTCATCTTTTTCTTCGTCTGGATACTGAAAGTTGCCTACCCAATAATTCCCCCGTTTTCTTTAAGAGGACCAACTGTTTTTGAGAATATCAGTGTTTACTATCAAAAGCTTTTCATGTGTAATAAAATTTTTAGTAGAAATTAATTAGTACAAAGGCCTTGAAAGAGTATAGTCTCATCTGATTGCTGTTTTGTTTTATTCTTTATGTTTGTTCACGACTGGAATCTTTTTAAATTTAATTTAAGTTGTTGATGGATCTTTATTTTATTTATTTATATGTGGTGCTGAGAATCGAACCCAGTGTCTCATACACGCTAGGTAAGCACTCGACTACTGAGCCAGAACCCCAGCCCTCATGGCTGGAATTTTGATCTAATGTTTTAAGTTAATAAAGTGTGTTATATTAATTTGGATATAGCTGAGGACTACATTTCCCAAAATCACTTCTAATCCTAGGTGATAGTTTTCTAAAATAACTTTGCAAGAAGTTTGAAAGGCTTTAGGGAAGGAGCTACAATTGCCTGCTTATTAGGACCACAATATAGGTAGACAGATGAGTCTGTGGGCCCCAATTTTCAGCTCATTTTTCTGAGTATTGAATGCCCTGTGGGCCCCAGTTTTCAGCTCATTTTTCTGAGTATTGAATGCCCTGATCCATACTTGCTCAAAACTGAATGTTAAGTGCTTGACCTCAGTCTCCTCAGGGGCTGCACCTCCACAAACATCTCCATTAACTCCTGTATCCTGGCCAAATACAACTCAGATTTCTCTGGCAAGCTCTGGTGTTGCCATTTTGGCATTTTTGCTTCTCATTGCACTTCCTCTGGCACTTTCACTGCCCTATTAGAGTTGGCCAGTTTGTGGAAGGATTGTCATCATGCTCACAGTCCAGTCCCATTCTTCACTCTGCTTATGGTATTGATGTCTATACAAGCCTATCGTGGTCCCAAAAGTGAGTAGAGCTGTGGGTAATGAAGTTATCCTGACTGTAATTGAGGCAAGCCTCAGGTAAGTGTCATCCTATTTTGGTAGAGGAGGATTTATATTTGATACCTTCAGACAGGGACGATTTTACTGCCTTTATGTGAGAAGAGGAATGCTATGAGCTGTTTCAGGTACATTTTGCTACCTCTTCCCTTTTTTTAAAACATTGTATTTTAAGGGTTGGTGTTGTGGCTCAGTGGTAGAGCATTTGCCTAGCATGTATGAGGCACTGTGTTCGATTCTCAGCATGGCATATAAATAAATGAATAAAATGAAGGTCTATTAACAACTAAACATATTTTAAAAAATTATATTTTCTCTTAGAAGAATAACTATAGCATTTCCCTTAATCACTTTTTACTGTTTATCAAGGTATACATAGACTAATGTGCAAGCTGTGTACAGCTTGATGTAATTTCACATAGATGTATACATCCTGGTGGACACATTTCCAGGATTCCAGGAAGTTCATTCATCTCTTTCTCAATAATCACTCCACAGAGGAAATTGGATTTTAACTCTTATTATGCTTGATTTGGTGTGCTTTTTCTCACTTTTCAAATAAATGTTAAAACTACAACATGTACTGTTACCTGTTTGGCTTCTTTTACTCAACATAATGTCTGGTTTGTCACTTGGTTGCTCTTATTTCTCTTGGTATTTGCTATATGTGGGGAATGCAATTACTGAATGATAGGGTATACTTCAAGTGTAGTTTTGGTAGATACTTTAGATTTTCAAAAATGTTGGTTCCACCAGTAAGTCCCCAACAGTGCATGTGAGTGTTGGCTATTGCCGCAGTCTGGCTGGGCACAATCAGGAGCCACTTGTCAAAAGAAACTAACTTTATTTTTAGAACCACACACGACAAACAAAATAGTCTCTCAGGAAAAACCCTCAGAGCCTCAACTGCCACCACCGGCTTTCCCCAAGCCTCTCTCTCCCACACAAGCTTCTCTCCACCTCCCACAATCCTCCTGCTCTTGAGGCCGATTGGCTGGGTCACGTGGGCGGAGCCAAAAAAGTCCCCCAATGAGCAGCTCCGTGGTCTGAAAGGGCAGGGAAACAGTCCAATGAGCATCACCGCAGAGGAGCCAATCAGCTAGATGTTGCTGGGGCTGCTGTGAGCCAATCATCAGCCGGCAGCTGGAAGTTTGCTGGGGCCCCTCAGGCTGTGGCTCTCAACATCTCCCCCTCTCTGTTTAAACAACAAGCATGTGGCTTAGGGACCGTGCCTGTTAGGCAGTCCAATTCAACATATGGTCCTTACCCGTCATCGGATGAACTGACCTCTAGGCGTCAGCCTCCTGTCTTAGGTTGGTACCACTGCAATTGGATCATACCCGTCACTGACTACCGGTCCAGCATACAGCCATACTTGTGGATAGGCCTTTGCACCTGTGGGGGGGTGAGGTTCTTTGCCTCACCTCTTTTGGCCCCCAAATTTTAGACCATCACTAGTAGAGGAGGATGCAAAATGCCATGACATTAAGCCAATTGAGGGCTCCTTTGAAAAATTGTACCACCGGTGACATCATCAGCAAAAATACCCCAACACTACCATAAGTCGCTGCATTTCGCCTAGCCGTCTCCTTGCAAAATTCCTCATTGGCAACCTTCCATAACAGGTATTGTCCTCCATTTAGCACAGCTTTACACATATTAGCCCAATCTGCTGGCGTCATGTTCAAGTTGTTAATGGATTCGACCAAGCTTACAGTGAAGGGTGCTTGAGGACCATAGGTTGTTACAGCCTCTTTTAGCTGCTTCACTGTTTTGAAATTTAAAACTTGGTAAAATCGCTGCCCTCCTGCCTCAAATACAGGGCATGTTAATATTTGAGACCTTGTCTCAGGATCCCAACTATCAACTGCGGGGGTTGGGGGCCTCCCAGCATATGGAGGTGGCGCTGTTGGTTGGACACTTACGCCCTCTGGTGATAGAAAGGTGTTAGTAGCAGTCTCCTGTAGAGGTGGTGCTGTTGGTTGGACACTTACACCCTCTGGTGATAGAAAGGTGTTAGTAGCAGTCTCCTGTTGTAACTTTCCGCCTGATGGCTTTTTCTGTTTTACACTTTCTTTCTCTGTCTGACTAGGTGGAGAGGCCTTCTCTTTTACTTGAATCTTTTCCTCTGTCTGACTAACTTGAGAGACCTTCTCTTTTACTTGAATCATTATGTCTTCTCCTTCCTCTACCATTGTCTGAACTGAAGGCTTTGGACTAAGCAAACAAGATATGAATGTCCACAATCGCAATGTGCCAACTGGCAGAGTCCCTGGGCTTTTCTTTTCTATTCTTTTTAAATCTTCACCATGATGGTTCCATTGTGATATATTTAACAACTCCTCCTTAAAAAGCCATGGGCTACATTTTTGTATTGTATCAACGTATGCCCTGATTGTTCTTGATTTTACTGAGATGCCTCCTTCCTCTAACAATTTACTTAACACTCTTTCAGTTTGTTTTTTACTAATTTCTGATCCCGTATTTCTACTATAATACAACCCAACAAGATGACGCCAAACAAAACCGAGACAGAATGAAATAAAAAGGGAACAACAAAAAGTCATTATAGCCTTTCTATCCTCCTGACATGGGCATCCGTCCTTTCTCCCTATCTGTTCCTCAGATGTAAATAGTTTTTCCTCAGATGTGAGCGGTTTTTCTTCCGTCTCACTCATCTCCAGGGACAGGCAACTTAAAACAAAAGTGAAGCAAAATAAAAGAGGAATCTTAAAATGGCTACCCATCCTCTCGCCCTGCCCTCAGGGGCGAGCAGTTTCACTTACCCTCAGTCGCTCCCCGTGCGAGCCACCAAATGCCGCAGTCTGGCTGGGCACAATCAGGAGCCACTTGTCAAAAGAAACTAACTTTATTTTTAGAACCACACACGACAAACAAAATAGTCTCTCAGGAAAAACCCTCAGAGCCTCAACTGCCACCACCGGCTTTCCCCAAGCCTCTCTCTCCCACACAAGCTTCTCTCCACCTCCCACAATCCTCCTGCTCTTGAGGCCGATTGGCTGGGTCACGTGGGCGGAGCCAAAAAAGTCCCCCAATGAGCAGCTCCGTGGTCTGAAAGGGCAGGGAAACAGTCCAATGAGCATCACCGCAGAGGAGCCAATCAGCTAGATGTTGCTGGGGCTGCTGTGAGCCAATCATCAGCCGGCAGCTGGAAGTTTGCTGGCAGCTGGAAGTTTGCTGGGGCCCCTCAGGCTGTGGCTCTCAACAGGCTATTCTGCATACTGGGCCCACACTTTCTAACTTTAGCTCTTTAGCAGAGTGTGTGGTGATATGTGTTTTTTGTTGTTGTTGAAATATGCATTTTCCTGATATTGAGTACTTTTTGGTGTGCTTATTTGTTATTTGTATATCTTAATTAGGCTACCTTTTGAAGCATTTCACCCATTTTTATTTTCTTTTTTCTTTTGAAGTGTTTCCTTGCTGCTAAAAAGTCCTTGGCTATAACTAAGCTTCAATCTGGATCCTGAGGCTAAAAGATGTGCATTTGTCTGTCTCCGAGTCTTGGCTGTGCATCTTTTTGCATTGTCTTTTCTTCCAGCTGGGATGTTTTCTTCACAGTAGGCTTCAGAAGTTCTGTGGTGCTTTCTTCCCAAGATAATGCTTCAGGGAGAAGAGTGACATCTTTTTTGAACAGTTCAAATATAATTATCAAAATGGAATCTGAGGAGGGGAGGTGGGGATAGTAGAGGATAGGAAAAGCAACAGAATACAACAGACACTAGTATGGCAGTATGTAAAAACGTGGATGTGTAACCGATGTGATTCTGCAATCTGTATATGGGGTAAAAATGGGAGTTTATAACCCACTTGAATCAAATATATGAAATATGATATGTCAAGAGCTATGTAATGTTTTGAACAACTAATAGTAAAAAAATGGAATCTGATTAATGGCTTATTTGTCCACCATGGCCAGGGGAATGTTAATACTCTGATTTGTTTAGGACCAGCTCCCAGTTTCTCATTGAGAAACTGAGGTTAGAATTTGTACCCCTAAATCATAGAGCCCTGGCAGTTATGATGCACATGGAGAGGAGCGAGAGGCAGCTGTGAGCAGGTGGGGGCTCAAAATAGGGGCAATATTGTACCTTATGCTGACTTCGGGAAATACAAAGTCTAGGAACTTACGTAGTGTTTTTCCTAGAAATCCTTTTAGAATGTCAGATGCCATATGTCTTTTAGATTGCTAAAAATTGCTCTCAGTCTTTACAGAACATAAAAATAAGTAGAGATCTGAGTGTTCTTTATGAAGTATTTGCCTAGACCAAGATAATGAATATATTTTATGTTTTCTTCTAGACCCTTCATTGTTTGACTTCTTGTATTTAGGTTGGTGATCCATTTCAAGTATTTTTGTTTGTTTGTTTGTTTGATAGGGTGTGAGGTGGGATTCAGGTGTATGTGTACAGATTTATCCACTAGATCATGTTTTCCCTCTGCTTAGGTAGGCAATCTATGTCTTTTGGTTTGTTTGTCTTTTCTTGCAGCAGCACCATACTATCCTAATTTGTATTGCTTTGTAGTATTTTTAGAAATCTAGTAATAAATTCTAATTTTAGAATTTATTAATTTTTATAAAAATATTCAGGGTCTATTTTATAGAATAACCTAAGGAAAATTGACATCTTTACAGAATTGCATCTTTCAATTGATGAACATGATGCGACAATCCATTTTCCTAGGTTGTCTTTAACTTTTCTGAAGGCGTTTTGTAGTTTAATTGTAGAGGTCTTGAATGCCTTTGTTTAATTTATTTCTAGATACGTGGTGTGTTTTGCTTGGTAAATTTTTTTATTTTTAATTTTGAATTAGTACATACCTTTACAATATCTTTTTCTTACATCAGCTGTATAGCTAGTGAGATAAATTTAACTCACTCAAATAATTCTCACCTGGTTTCTAAAACTTTTATTTATTTTTGTTGTCTTATTTAATGAATAGAGGTCATGAAAATGAATATCTTTTCCTTGTTCCTGTATGAAAGAGTAGTCAACATCACACCATTTAATGTAATGCTACTTGTAAATTTTCATAGATAACTTTTATCAAATTAAGGGAATTCTGTTTTGTTCCTGGATTGTCAAATGTTTTTAAAAATCACAAATTGATATTGGATTATATCCAGTGCCTTTTCTGCATATATCAGGGCCTTTAAAGAAATCCTTAATTCTGTTAACAAAATGAACTATACATTCTTTGATTTTCGGATGGTAAAACAACATGTATTACTGGCATAAATTAAATTTGTACATTTTGGTCTATTAGCCCTTTCATTTTGCTAGGTTCAACATGCTACTTTAAAAAATCATGTCTGTATTTATATTGGTTTTTGTTTTATGATTTATCAAAAAAAAAAAAAAGTGTATATATATATATATATATATATATAAATAATTTTTTTTCCTTGGTTCTTGTTCTTGTTTTTGGTACTGGGGATTGAACCCAGGGAAACTCTACCACTGAGGCACATATCCAGCCCTTTTTATTTTGAGATGGGTCTTGCTAAGTTGATCAGGCTGGCCTTGAACCTTGAACTTACAATTTTTTCTCAGGCTCCC